ATTAGATGATGGCAATGCTCTCAGACAGCTTTAATAGCAATCTACGTGTGACAGATGAGACATTGGAGTCTGGATGGTGTTATCTCCGAGGGTCCGTGGATGTCTCCCTCGCCACATCCTCATTCCTGAAATTCAACAGTGTGGCTGCTGATTACCAACGCTGTATTTGGATGTAAGTGGAGCTCTCACATAAACAAATGTATATTTGATCACACTCTTCTTACCTGGAATATTGAGCGGGGGCTTGTAATCGTTTCCACACTTTAAATACACCTCTCTCTGGTGCATAGCAAGCACGGAAGAGGATTAGGAGACAATGGATACACAAACTGAAATAAGTACCATATACGGGGATACAAAACTAAACTGTAAAACAAGACAGGGCGATAATGAGGAAATTAAATATCACAATATTGGTTGGCTGCTCTTCCTCTAATTGACCGGTTGGTGGTTTGATCCTCACCCCCTGCAGTCAACATGTTGATGTGTCCTTTGGCAAGATTTGTTAATCCCAAATGACTCCCTATGGCATGGCCAACTGTATGTGAATGTGTGTGAATGTTAGTTTACCTAAGCAGGAGGGACCACTAAATGAATATTTGTGAATAGTTGAATGATGACTTGTTTTTGCAGGTGGTTAAGCCCCTGTCACACTGTCCCGAAATTGACACCAGATGGACACACGAATATGGAATTATGAATTTCGCACGAAGATGGCCCTGAACTTGGTCAACAGCCAAGCAACAGCCGAAGCAAGTACGACACCTACAGAAGGCCACACGATTTAAAGATACACATCATTCTTTACTTTCTCCGTTTTTATATGTAGATTAGAAGATGTTACTTATCGCCGTGATGTTGTTTCCATAGCAACAACAACTTCCTGTCAACAGCGTAAACTTGCCTTCAAAATAAAAGCATCTAAATAAAACAGGAAGTTAACCTGAATTACATTTAAGACATACAACTGCAACGAAAGTAACAAAAACAATATCAAATCCTTTTCAGTTTCACAGAACACAAATTGGGTTATTTACATAATATGTTTACATGTTTGGTTTGTTGTGCAATAAATGCAATCTCGATGTCATCGTACTATAATACGATGGCTACACGACGGCATTGCGAGGGCTTCACGTAGTCGCGTTGCCTTCCTAAGACAATCTTGCAGCTTCTTGTTTCCTTCGTATTGTCTTCGTGAGGCAAAAAATGCCCGATGGCATCGATAATCAGACGAAGATGACACAATTTGACACGAGTGCCTTACGAAGGGCAAAATGGACACACAAATTCAACACGAAAATGAACCTTCGCAAGGTCCTTCGGCAATTTTTTGACAAAGTTTCTGCCGGAGCCTGAGAAACTCCACCGGCGGTCATACGATGGCTTAAGATGCCTTCAAGAATGGCCCGGTGTTGTTACGATCAGAGGCAAGTTTGAACATTTCCTTAAATCATGTGTCCATCGGGTGTCAATTGGGATATTACGCCCACCTCGAGTTAATAGCACCGTGAGTAACATTGCACAGCACCACTAAAAAAAGTGACACAACCACAACGCACACCCCTCACCAGACGTCATTCTTTTAAGGTGAACATCGCGGCGGCCCGCGGCGGCGGGTGACACCCCGATTCGGAGCTTACAAAAAAGTCCAAAGTCGCGCTGACGGGGACCCAACCTGTTCCCCAAGAAATAAAAACTTCTCACTCCACATAAGCGGAATGGTCTTCCTCTGGTTGGGTTTTCTGGGACTCTAACAAAACTTAACCAAAGTAATCAACATCCCGGTTTTCTTAGTTCTTTAACCATAAAAAACCGGGATTTTTTGGTNGCTACATTGTGTAAAGCTAACACTTTAACATTGTCAACCTCCAAGACATGAAAACAATTACAATACTGTTTAACCATGCAAGTACCGATACAAAACTATAATAATATAGTTTTGTATCGGTACTTGCATGGTTAAACAGTATTGTAATTGTTTTCATGTCTTGGAGGTTGACAATGTTAAAGTGTTAGCTTTACACAATGTAGCACTTACCTGCACTTTAAAGTGACATGCTGATGTTGTTTACAGCTAAAGGAAAGGAGATGTTACAGATATGGGCATCTGTTAATGCCTGTTATATAGTGACGCCTGTTGGCGCTTTAGTAAACTGCATGCTGACAAAGGCTTACACTGTGATGTACTATATCCGCAAGCGCGGGAATTATACATGTGATGGAGTCGTGAGTTACGGAAATAAAGCTGCAGACTGAAACAAAAACTGGTGTTTTTTCAACCTTTCAGTCTACCATAAATCATGAGAGTTTGACGACTTGACACCCCCATGATATAGTCAGGGCCAGGGTGCACATAAGTGGTACGGCAACAATCTGAAATGCGTAGCCTACCGTCACTTGTGTCACAAAGCGCATTTGCGTACCAACGTACTTGTGAAGCTTTTCCAGAAGGCGGTTAGATCACCGGACGACAGAGTAGGTTTCCGTGTGCACAGACAAGGCTGCTGTTAACGTCGGTCTGTACAGCACTGCGCTAAAGCAGCTGATCACAACGTTCACACCCCCCCTCCGGTGACATTCGCGATACAGAGGGCTTCATACTCCAATAGCACCCCCCCNNCCCCCCCCCCCCATTGGTCCACAAGCATAGCAGTTGTCCGTCCATAAAGCCAAGAACAGAAATCCAAATGTCCGAATCATATCCTCAGAGTAGAATAGAAACTTGGGGCCAAGCGTCACACAGAAGCAAATATGTATTAACAGGATAATCCCCCTGGCATCCACCCTCTCTGCCCCCAAATAGACCATTTAATCCCCCACCCCCCAATCGAGTCATTTGGACTCCCCGTGGAGAACAAATTACCATTTTCAGGCGTCACTACTCTATTCCATGGTGTAAGGGAGATGACAAGATTAATCCTCCTCTCAGGAAGCATTACGCAGGACTTCCAGTTGTGTTGCTACATTTTCCCATGAACTTGGGTACTTGTAAATTACATGAACATTAAAGTAGAAGGGAAATCACAATGTTTGACCATTTGATCGGTCAGTTTTCAAAATCTATTTCACAAAATATACAAATTACTACTTCAAATAGGGTGTCCACAACAATATGCTGTACGATGTGTGAACAGTTCTAGATTAAAATCAGTACCAAAAAGGTGCAGATTCTTAGAGTTGAATACTAAACAAACAGAACAAACACTTTGTTGTTAAGGAACAACACAGACGAGGTAGAAGCTTTGAACACTGGCCATCAACTTCAAGTATTTCAAACTTAAACGGACTGCCTTTGGGACTTTGTTTCTATTGAAAGGAAACACTGGCATCAAGTGGCCGTCGATATTATTATCACAAGAATGTTCATGAAGTAACCTGCAAAACAGTGAAGTAACTACACTGAAAAAAAAGGCTGTTGGATTCACATGATTTTAATATGGACATCGGTTGCACATATTAAAAACATGTGTACTAAAAACTATTCCATTATGTTAAAGACACACAACTATTTTATGTCAAAGAAACAGTAAATTGTTATGTTCATTTGAATATTTCCTTTAATATGGGTATATTCATTTACCCTATGTTAAACCAACATGACTTTTTTGTGTTCATTTTAGGCTTGTAATATGCTCAGTATATTTCATTTGTACCTGTTAAAGCAACAGGATTTCTTTATTCAAGCTTCACTGTAAAAAGTCTGTTGGACTTAAGTAATAAAAAAATATGGACATCGGTTGCACATATTAAAATCATGTGTGCTCAAAACTATGCCATTATGTTAAAGACATACGGAGCCGAGGTTCATAGAGAGAACAATAAATAAAACGTGGCCACGTTTTACTTTCTCGTTCGCACGAGATACCTTCTCGTGCGAACGCTTTAGTAACTCGTGCGGACGAGTTAATAAAGCCTGCGCACAAGTTAATAAAGCGTGCGCATGAGTTAATAAAGCGTGGCCTCGTTTTGTGTGTGTGTGTGTGTGTGTGTGTGTGTGTGTGTGTGTGTGTGTGTGTGTGTGTGTGTGTGTGTGTGTGTGTGTGGGCATTTGTTTATGATAGTGTCGTTCGTTCCGGTGCACTCCGGCAGGACTATAGCACATTGAGATTAAGATTAAACGAATGTCTTTCACTTGGGAATACACATATAACTATGGAGAACCAGATTTACACACACACACACACACACACACACACACACACACACACACACACACACACACACACACACACACATCATGCGCGCTGGTGACAGGAGATCTCCTTCATAAAACGAGGGGGAATACTCTGGTAGTTCGATGTGTGTATAGGTGTGTGTGGTTAAACGTAGCAGCCTCGATCTCTATTCAGCGGTTCTAATGAAGGGAACACAGTGAAGTAACCAGTAAAAGGCACAGCTCTTTGCAGCTGTTGCTGCTCTTCTCAGATTCTGCTGAGTTACACGTTACTGCCTCCAGTGCCCTGTACGACGAAGCCAGTTCAACAGACCCTGGATATGTTTGATTTACCCGGCTTAACTAACCCTAAACGCAATGTCGCTAAGCGGTCCTACGAAGCTGGTTATCAACTCAG